GAGCACCGGTACAGCAAGTACAAGCATACCCACGTGGGCAGCGCCACGTGGGCCAATGAGGCACTTACACGTACAGACCCATATCAACATTTGGGATTATAAATACTCCCTAACTGCTTTCATGCAAGGTATTAACTCTTTTACGTCTCTCTCTGCAATTACTCTTTGAGAGCATCTCTTTCTAGAATATTGAGTATTGCTGATTTGAGCGTTGGAGTGTTTTCCCCGAGGAAACACCCTCGAGATTTTCAGGTGTAGGAGCAGCTGAGGATTTTAATAGTGTAGGATTGCGAAGCTGCTCAAACAGGTACAATTTCTGTACCGACTACCCATCAACTAGAGGATACGAAAGCCTTATAGAATTGCTTCCTCATCCTTTTATGGTTTTTGACAGACATAGCACAGTTCATTGGACAAGATTGCCATTCATAAAAAGAAAAAACGCAGCCATCCACTTTAGATTTAATCCATAAAAAGGTTTTAACTTGCACCCTTTCCAGCAAGCTTTCTGATATTCCTTCATCTTTTTGACATACTTAAACATTCCGCCTACACCATAAGTACCAAGCGACCACTAGAAAAATACAAGATCCCATCTCCTTTTCAACTATTCTGCCCAAACCACATAAGAAAAATTCTGTCATTCCCACAATTGTATTTGGCAAAATACTCTCCAACTATAATATTTAAAATTTATTAATAAAAATTGTACATATAAGTTATTTGTATATTATTATTATTATTTAAATAAAAAATTAAGACTTTTTGTCTATTAAAACATTAAGAATGATAATAAAAAAAACTAAAATGCGTAAGGAGAATGATGGGAGGAAAATGGAAGATTTTTTAACTAATCATATTATAATATTTTAAAATGTAATAGTTTAATTAGTTAAATTTTTTTTTCATCCCCTACTCTCTTCTTTCATTTGTTTCTCTCAACTTAAATATACTATCAATGAATCAACATATATAAAGTATTTATTAAGTATATTTAAATAATTTTATAAAAAATCTTAATATTTAAAATGTTAAAATGTCTTAATTTTTATTTTTTTTTTATTTTTTTACAATAAAAATCAATCTAGTTCGAAATCGAGCTGCGTCGGATCTCATTTGGAGAGAAATTTTCTCGACGCTTATTTTTTTAATTTACAATACTTAAATTTGAGATTTTATTTAAAAGAACTGAGTTTTTTCCATTTAAACCAATAAGTCATTGGTAAATCAATTGTTTATTTAGCTGGATTTGGAAAATAAGTATTTTGATATTGGAATTTTCAAGAAAAGTGAATTAAGGAGGCACCTAACCTTTATTAGAGACCCAAAACGAGAAGATTGGAGCCCAAAAGAAATAGGCTATGAGTCCAAAGCGGGCCCAGGAACATCAATCTCATCGTGGAATTCGTGACTGCTTTAAATGACGGTTGAGTTCAACCATTCGGTCCATTTCTGACGGCCGCCACTGTGTTATGTCTTATTCATTTTTTTGACAAATGTTATGTCTATTTATTACTTTTGTTAAAATTATCTTAAAATTATTTAATTTAATTAATATTTTATTTATAAAATTGATACATATAAATTTTAATTAAAAAATTAAAATCTTAATTTATATTTAAAAATTAAAATTTCAATTTAAAATATAAAAATTTAATTAATTTTTAATTAAATATTAATATTTAATAAAATAAATTCTTAAATTTTAAATAAAATTTGAATTAAATAAATTAACGTAATTTAAAATTAAAATTAAATTTTTTTAAAGTCAAGAGTGATATTTTATTCATTTATTTATAAAATTTTAAAAATAATTAATTATAATGTTTTAAAATATTAATTTATAAATTAATTTTAATTTATTAAATAATAAACATTAATTATTTCATTAATTATTAATTATTTTTAACAATAAAATTAAATAAAATTAGACTGCCTTAACCACGATCATAGCCGACTTTAGAAGCTGTCAGGTCGGTAACATCAGAAAATATTCTAAATATAAAGTGTAAAGTTGAAAATCGATTAAATGTGCCTTTCGTGAGAAAAGTTTTTGACCATTAAAAGTTTTTTTTTTATTAACTGAAGCTAAATTAACTATTAAAAGTTGTTTTCAATCCTTAAAGGCCTATAGATTCAAATTACAAATAATTATAAATCTATGACTTTTGGAAAACAATTTTTGTCGTGCTTAATTTGGCAACTTCTACGAAACAACAGTGTATGGAAATCACTCAAGGGGTTTTCGTTTGTTTGGTGAAGAATTTTGCTTTTCATTTTATTAATTAATATTTGGTTTTATTTAAAAGATTAATAAAAAAATAATTTTTCATGAATAACATACTTTAAATAATATAATCTTAGAATAAGCTGCTTTTAATCCAATTAAGAAGGAATTAATTTCAAAATATAACTAAACTAATTCAAAAATATCTTAATTCCTCAACTAAAAAGACTTTAGAGAAATCATAAAATATTTCTAGAATCTTAATTTTTTGAGTTTTAAAATTCAAAAAAGTGTTATGTATTAATATTCCAAACTATAAAATTTTAAGTATAAAATGGAGTAAACTTCTTAGTATTTTAGGTTTATTGGACTGTAAAACAAGAAATCTTTTAAAATTTTGATAATTATTTTGTATTATGTACTATTATTTAACAGTACTTCTTGAAAAAAATCTTCCCCCAAAATATAATAATTCTACAAAAACTACGACTTGATTAAATAGGCTATTTTTAATAGTTTAAGTGATTCAATAAAAAAAATTTTTTAATTTAAATACTACAATACATAAGTGAAATAAAAATGAGTTATCTCTATGATGTAATTTAAACAAATTGTTTTGATTTGCTGAAAATAGAGGGGAAGGTGGGGGTGATTTTAAATCTTGACCATTTTCTTTAAACGGTCTACTAAGGTATAAACGGGGAAGTAATTTGAACCTAATTCTATACTTAGTCCTCACACCCAATTTATGCACATTTGCAAAGTCAAATTTTGGAATAAGAAATTCTTATAAAATTATAAAGTTATTTAAATCAGTTGAAAGTTTTCTTGACTATTTATGGTCTGCCAAATGGAAATTTTCCACGCGATGGTGATGGAATTTGGTTGTTGAGCCCATTACATCCATCCTTATTACCCGGTCTTTCCATGGAACTTCAATGAAAAGGGAATTTGTCTTTCTATGTACTACTTGTGGAACAATATTTTTAGGAAAATAATTGACACATTTTACAAAATTATACACTTTATTACACATTAACGGTTTTTATTATTTGTGCTGTTAAAGTTAACTTTTTTCGTTACTTGTGTCGTTAAAATTAACGGTTTTCGTTATTTATACCATTAAAATTGACGGTTTCTGTCAGTGTATAACGAAGTGTATAACTGTACAGAGTGTATGTATCATTATTTTTTTTTTAACTTAACTAGTTATTTTGTTTGTTTTAAAATAATGGTTGGTTTTTAACCACATAAATAATAAAAAAATTATAATAATTATTATAATTAATTTGTACTTAATATATTTATTGGTTCATCTTTAATTATTACCAAGATTAATTTGAGAGAGAAGGTAGTGAATCATGTATTAAATTAGAGATTTAATTATGGAGTTAAAACTAATATAATTTGCATTTAAAAATTATATACAATTGATTTTTTTTATTGAAGAGTGAATCGCGAGCTAATGATACGTCCACTTATTAATTTGATGTCACATGTGGATGATTGTTGTATGTATCAATTTCAAGGATAATGACTTTATAATGGAAAATATGATACAAAGAAATATTTTTTAAAAGATTTTATTTATTAATAAATAAGTATTATTTTATAAACAATTCTTAATAAAATTATTATTATTATTATTTTGAACATGAAGGAGTTTTGGGGATGGAAATTTGGATAATTGAATTCCCAACCAATTACATTTAAGAATTTAAGGCTTGAAGACAAAGCATTGGATTAGAAAACCTAGTTCAAGAAAATTAACTTTTTTTTATTATATCAAGTCGACGTGAGAAATATATCCTTAAGATCGTGCAATAAGGGAGATATTATTCTCGGTGTATGAAAGTGGCTTGAGAACAAGTTGACTATCCAAACAAAAAGTTAAAATGATACAAAGAAAGAAAGATTTTTCTTTTTTATATTGGTTTTATAATATGAGATAATTTTTTCACATTTTTTATTTTATCCTTCTTGAATGTCATGTAATTTAAATTTAAGATATTTCATTTTTAGCAAAAGAAAATTACTATTAAATTATTTAAGTTTTAGTACGAAGAAAGATAAAAAAATTAAAAAAATAAAAATTTAAATGTCAAGATTACATGTAAAATTATTTAAATACCCTTAATAAATTTAATTAAGCCTTTTCATTATTGTTTTTAACATTTTAATTATCAATTCATACTAATTTTCTTTGATCTCTAAAAAGTAGTCTGATCTTTATCAAACTTAACCGACATTCTTTTTAATCTTTTGGAGCTAATCAAACTTAGCAGGCATTCAACAAGGAATCCCAGTGCTTTAGACTTAAATTTCCAAGTGCGACAAAGGAACCAAATAATAATAAAAAAAAAAGAACAATGTCTACTTAATCTCTGTTCCTAAAAGCAAATATGCCCGTTATCTATAATTTGAATGATAGTTGATATTACTGGGTTAAAGTACTAATCTGGTCTCTAAACTTTTAAATTTGTATTAAAATAGTTTTTAAATTTTAAAGATAATATCAATTTAATCTTTTAACTTTGAAAACAAATACCAATCTTATTCTTAAATTTTGATTAAAAAAACTAATTGGGTCGTTCAGTTTTGATTATATATTTATTTGATTTGCATATGAAAATATGTTATAATGATAAAAAAAAATATGACTTTTTTATTTTACATTTCATTAGTATTTAGAAAAGCTAATTTTATGCCAAAATAATGAGTTACGTGACATTTTTATCAATAAAAAGATTTTTTAGTATTGAAAATTAAAGTTTAAGGATAATTTTGCTACTTTTTGAAGTTGAGGAACAAATTTGATATAAATCTGAAAGTTGAGGGACCAAATTAGTATTTTAACTATATTATTGATAATTGACAGTTGATAACAATGAGTATGTAACACTAAATCTCACATCTTGAGCTTAAATCCCATTTTATGTGTGTTTAAAGTAACTATCTTCCTCATAAACAAATCAATCAGGGCTGCCTTATTTACGACCACTCCTTACTACTTTCATGAAAAATCATACATGCCCTTTTTTTGTTCTAACTACAAAAAGCCATTAGCCACCTGGAATTCCACAAAGAAATTTGAGAGGAAGGAAATATCACTCCATTTTGCACTGAAACAGCATTTTCATAGTAACTAATTTTCAAACTCATCTTTAGCGTGAATTGACAATGCTCACTTCCAGTCATTTGCATGAGGACTTCATCCCAAAATTCGTCCTCCTTTTCTTTTCATTTTTTCTTTTTTTATAACCTTATCCCTTTTCCTACGTAAACAGTTTACAATTCATATTTACCTAACAAATATTACAAATTTACAGCAAATTTACTCAATGAGGGCTAACTCATACAAGAAAATTAATATAAACATAGATTAAATCTACACTATAAATCTACCTAAAGAACTTTATTTGTCCTTTTTTTTTTTTTGATACAATTAAAATTAGTTTGTTTGATATTGTAAGAATTTGAATCCTAAACCTTAACCTCAAATTAAAAAATTTTAAATTAATAAATACTAATTCAACCAAATTAAAATTTTTGTTGGTATTAGTCATAGTCAATAGATATTTCATTATTAGCGTAGTTATCATCATCACCTTCCAAAGATTTCTTCCTCCCCTCACTTCCTTGATGTTTCTCAAATTATTAGTTTTCTTTGTACCAAGACGCACATGCTCAGACTTTGCGAGAAAATTATGGCGATTATTCATGCATGTGGAATTTTTTTTTTTTTTTTTAAGTACCACTTGTTTCTTTTTACATTTTTCTTTGATTTGTACTATAGGATAGCTGTAGCAATTTATTTTGTATGAATTGCACATTTTATAATTATTGATAAAGGGGAGTTGCCTCAATATCAAGGATTAACCCAGCTCTTCATCAATAGTTATTAGGCTGGACCGCAAATTACCGTTTTGTTGTTCCATATAAGTATAAATACACAAGGCCAATACATTTGAAGATCGAAATATATTCCAGCACAAACTTTGCTAATAAAAAAAATTGACATCAAATTTGCAAAATTAATTCTTCTAAAAACTTCCCTGATAAAAAAAAAAAAAATTTTCTAAAAACTTCAATGAATTTGATAAGAAAATAATATATTGATTTCAGTCAATATGACCAAGAGATGTTAATCTGACATCTATCATGAATTAAGGGATATGCATGGACTACTACCATATGTTACATGGTGTTGTGAGTCACGACACCCTGCAACATTATGATGGGCACATGAGTAGCATTTATAGTTGAGAAAATTATGTTATAATATCACTAAGGGTCAAGATTTTACATTTGAAGGAGAAAAAGGAAATCTTACATATTATAATTCGAGAACCCATAAAAAGTAATTATAAATTTATTTAGCATAATTATTTTTAGCAGCAAAGTAGTATACAATAATGGGTCAGTTTTTTATCATCATTTAATTCATCTCTCCAACTATATCAAAAAAAGGTCATCCATGTTGAAATTAGAGGAACTAAAAATTGACGAATTGCAGAATTTAATTAAAAGAAATCACATTTTATTCACCTCTTCAAATTGAACGATAGTCAACAAACTCTTTTACCGACTAATTTACTTTCTTTTCATGGAAGTTAACAGTGACATAACACTAATGAGAAACTTAACAGTCTTATATTTATATATAAGTAAAGGATTTGGTATAATAATATACAAATTGACTGACTTACCTCGATCGAGAAACATGAACACATGGTATGGGTTAAAATAAATACTTCACCATGGGAACACTTATATCGAGTTCATATCCTATAACTAATCCATTTTATAAAATTATATGCATGTCTCACCTTCTCACCATACATAAGGGATCATAAATCTAAAGGAAAATTATTGGTGCACATCCGGATCCAACACCGAGGGTGCAACAACCAAGTGTGCACCTCTTATATAAAAAAAAAAAATTGAACCGGGTGATGGGCATTTTTTTTTTATATGATGTGTGCACACTCGGCTGTTGGATCCGGGTGTGCACACATTATTTTCCAAATCTAAAACCCTTCCCAAAAGTATGTAAAGAAGATAAAGATATTAGTTGTCGGAAAAAATGCATATAATTGCCCTCGGATGATATTACTTAACACTTGAATATTACAGTGACATCAAGCAATTAACAATGAAATTTAATAGGTAACTCCAAGAGTTAAATTTATTAATAAATAAATATTATTTTATAAACTAGATTTAAGATTTACGTTTTGAAATCATCATCCTAAAAAATGAATTTCTTTGGTTCTTCAAAAAAAAAAAAAAAGAATTTCTTTAAATGGATAAGCTAATGTAGGGGGTGAATCTCTAAAATTATCCAGAAAAAATTAGATTTAATGTATGTACAAAAATTAGTTTGAGAACATCATAACTATAAATATCAGTAAAAAAAATTAACAGACCGAAAAAGATCCTGGACCAATGGATTAACCGACCAATTTTCAGTTAAAATAAGCTTAAAAAATAGGGGTGACCTTCTCAACTCCTCCTATAAATAGACACCATTTCTCTTAGTTCCAATGCACAAATTCAATAGATCATATATAGATAAAGCTACTCTCTCTCTAGCTAATTGATACCATTCCAATATGTCTAGCCACCAAGCTCGCCAAATCCAATCATCCCGAGTTGGGATTATCGGCGCTGGTATTAGTGGCATAGCTGCCGCCAAACAACTCTCCCACTATGCCCCGGTTGTCCTTGAGGCCACTGGGTCCATTGGAGGAGTTTGGAAACATTGTTCATTTCGTTCCACCAAACTCCAAACCCCTCGATGTGATTTCGAGTTTTCTGATTATCCCTGGCCTGAACGGGATAATTCGAGTTTCCCAACCCACCTTGAAATTCTTGATTACTTGCATAGTTATGCTACACACTTTGATGTGTTGAAGTACGTCAAGTTCAATTCCAGGGTTGTGGAGATTCGATATGTTGGCCCCTATGACATCAGTCCAGACATCAACAAAGGAGAATATGGAGCGCTACTGACCGGCCACCCTATCTGGGAGGTTGCCGTAGCAACCAGTGACTCTAAAACTTTTGAGGTTATACATCATTTACAATTGCCGATTCTTTAAAAAAACTGCTTTTATTAGTAGACGCCGAAAATGACTATATGATAAATCCTGCTAACATGCATGCTTTTATGTGCAGTGGTATGCTTTCGAGCTACTAGTGGTGTGCATAGGAAAATATGGAGATATTCCAAAAGTACCGAACTTTCCTCCTAATAAAGGTGAACAGGTATTCATGGGCAAGATCATGCACTCCATTGATTACTCCAAGCTTGATCAAGAAGCTACACGCAAGCTACTCAAAGGGAAGAAGGTTGCCGTTGTTGGCTACCGGAAATCTGCCATTGATTTGGCTACTGAATGTGCAGAAGTGAATCAAGGTAATTATCCATCAAATTACTCAGGTATCCCAAAATACCTGTATTTTTTAGTTTGATTTTATTTTAGATTAATTATTTTTTTATTTTTTAAGATAAAGAAATATTTTTTTCTTACTTTAATTCTATTATTATTTATTTTTTCAACAACAATAGAAGTAAATATATAATTGTCTATAAATCTTTAATAAATCCTTAATTTGAAGGGAGGAAAAAGGAAAGAAACACAAAAATGAAAAGAATTGTCGCTGCTTCTGACTTCTCCACGATATAACCCCTAATTAATTGACTTAGCGTACAACGTTAAGACATGCCTTGGTCAATATCTTCCTTAATTAACGTTAATTAAATCAATAAAAAAATATTAGTAAACATTAACAAAGAATCTTGACTATCTAGACCTAGCCCAGACGTTTACTTTTATTAGTAATCGAAACTTTAATTTTTAATTATCAATATTCCATTGAGGCATGGCGGCTGTTAGTTCTTCTTGCATATATCATGAATTAATTTTAATTTTAATTTTATTTATTTATTTATTTGGGGTTAAATTCAGGTCTCGATGGGCAACCATGCACCATGGTGATAAGGACATTACATTGGACAGTTCCAGCATATTGGATTTGGGGATTGCCATTTTTCTTGTTTTATTCAACCAGGTTCTCTCAATTTCTCCATCAAAGGCCTAACCAAGGGCTGCTCAGAAACCTTCTTTGCTTTCTCTTCTCTCCTTTGGTAATTCTCACATTCCTTCTTGTTTAATTAATTACTTTCAAACTGTGATAAAACTGAAAATAATTTAGATGAGCTCGTCTTAAGTTTGAACCTTAACCGTAATGGGTGTAATTGTCAATCTAAATTTATAAGACAAAGGCGGGTACAATGGGCCTTAATTACCTTCCTTGTTAGAATATTTGTTTATAAAAAAAAAAAAAAAAACTATGATTAAATTAAAATGAATCCTTTTTTTTTTTTTGTTTTTTCAGAGGAAAGCAGTTTCCAAATTTATAGAATCATACCTAGTGTGGAAGCTTCCACTGGTGAAATATGGCTTGAAACCGGAGCACCCATTTGAGGAGGATTATGCGTCATGCCAAATGGCAATCTTGCCGGAGAATTTCTTTCCAGAGGCAAACAAGGGGAAGATACAGTTCAAGAGAGCTTCAAAATGGTGGTTCTGGAGTGGAGGACTCGAATTTGAAGACAAGACCAGATTAGAAGCTGATGTCGTGCTTCTTGCTACTGGTTTTGACGGAGAAAAGAAGCTCCGGAGCATCTTACCCGAACCATTTTCCAGCCTCATCGTGGACTCTTCCGGACTCATGCCCTTGTATAGGTAAAAAATAATAGTACCCACATAACATATGAATCGAACCAATAATAATTATGCAGATTAATATTCTAACCGTAAAACATGAATTATTAATTAACAAATAGCTCTTAATATTCCAAAAATTATCTTTATTCAATGATTTAAATTGTACACTTAATACAGACTGAATTACAAAATACCTTTTTTATAGTGTTTAATATATACTTGCAACCAACCTCGTGATATCACTTGCATTAGTCACTTAATTGCATTCCAAATTAGATTTGGTAGATGGGTTCAGATTAACTTGGCATATTAATTGAACAGGGGGACCATTCATCCATTGATTCCCAACATGGCGTTTGTGGGGTACATAGAAAGTGTGTCCAACCTGCACACGGCAGAGCTCCGGTGCAGGTGGCTGTCAAGGCTAACAGATGGGCTGTTCAAGCTTCCCAGCATTGAGAAGATGCGCGAACATGCTGGAAAAGAACTTGAAGTCATGAAGAAGACGACTCGATTCTTCAAGAAACACTGTATCTCTACTTTCAGTATCAATCACAGCGATGAGATTTGCACAGAGATGGGATGGAAAGCTTGGAGAAAGAACAACTGGTTCCTGGAAGCATTCACTCCTTACAACAGCCAAGATTATGCAGAACAAAACTGAATGAGCATCAACTTTATATATGTTTTCCTTTATTAGTACTTATATATAAAGAATAAAAGGGTTTTGTTTCTTTGGGTTTCCATGTGAAGTGTTTGAGTTTTTATCATTAACAATAAAATTATGAAGTTTTCATGTTTCAAAAAAAAAAAAAGGATGATATAATAAAGGCTACATGAAGTATTCAGTTGTAAAAACTGAAAAAGAGGAAAAATAAGAATTTTCCTCTCTTACATTATTTTGCTTTTCCATGGCTTGCTAACTTCAACATATTTGTTAGCCTTATTATATTAATTTAAAGGACTTCTAAAATACTACCAAAAAAGAAAAGGAGAGAAGGAGTTGAATACTTCTATGAAAAACAGAAAAGAAAGCAAAGATTTGATTAATTAAAAAATATAATCAATCCTTGTCAAGCAAGCCATTCTCCATCCGTTCCTTCAATTTCTCCGATGTCCATGCTGTTGATTCCAACATTCCAAGACAGAAAATTCAAAGGAGAAAGAGTCAGTGAAGTTTTCATACCTCAACAACACTTGTAAGGGCATGGAATTAAATTAATTAAGGTGCCCAAGAAGGAGGAAAAAAAAACTCTTATTAGCTGATTATTTCATTTTATCATATTAACCCAGCCTATTTAAAGAAGCTCATACCCACTTCATATGGGCCTTTCCAGGGCTCTTTCAATGCAGAATTGACAAGGCATTACAAGTTCAAGAATTTGCAAGGAAGAGTTTGCTAGTTGCTACCTAGAAAATTGAACTCACAACCAACAAATTTTCATATCTGATACAGAAGCATGATGCAAGAGAAAAAAAAAAGAAAAAGAAAAAGAAAAAACAAATTAATAAGTTTTCTATAAATAACAGTGTTTTGGAGCACTTGGATGCTTACCAAGGCAAGGCAGGATCCTGGTAGTAGTCATCAGGACAATAATCATTGAGATGTTGTTGCAAGCAGCTCTCATTTGCATTCAACCAGGAAGGAAACTCCATGATTTGATCAAATGGCTGGTACCCATCATTCTGCACCTTCACTTCTGGTCCGAGCTCCATGGTCTTCAAGAACTTGAACCACCATGCTGATGTCATCAAATTCATGGTGTCATTCCACTCCATCTGGTGCTGCTCCCCAATTGATCTGATCTCAGCCATCTCCTCATCATCCATGGCATGATGCAGGCCACCTCCGCTGTAGGATTCAGTGATATCAGCCATGGCAGTATGCCCCACCTCATGTGGGGTTGCAACTGAAGGAACTTCCTCAATAGTGGTGACAGAGAGACCTGGGGAAGATGATGATGATGAAGAGGAGGATGTGTAGATTGATGTTGGGTTGTTGCTGTTGTGGTAAAGGGTGGTGTCTAAGTTAAAATCTTGAAAATTGAGGTTTAGGCCCAAGGTTTGATTTGGTAGGGTGAGATTGAAGGGTTCTGTGGCTGATGAAGCAGGAATTGAAGAAGCAGCCCAAGGAAATGAATTTGGAGGAGCAGGGTAATGAGAGAAAGATGAATAGGTAAAATTATCCTGATAAGAAGAGAAGTTTTCAGTGGTTGATGGGTATATTCTAGGATTTCTCCCGGATTTCATCTTGGCTTCTTGTTCAAAACATGGAGGAGGTGAAAGATGCAAGGGTTGTGCTTCTTGTTGTTGTTGTAGCTCTTCTTGTTGCTTCTGGGGCTGCTGCTGCTGTTGTTGTTCATTTGCCTGTTTCATGGCTGCTCTATGGTACTTCAGTGCAGTGACAATTTCTCTTCTAGCCTCAGCCATGTTCAGAAGCCTTTCTTGGTAAGGCCTACTGGTATGGAGTCTCCTCCTAACTTGCTTCTTGTGCTGTTGAGGTGGATGAGGTTGCTGGATTTGTGTTTTCTCACTAAACCCCACACCAAATTTGGTCATGTTTTGGCCATTAAACTGCTCAGCATCAACAGAGTCAAGGTCCTTAGGGTTCATGGGATCTTTGGTTCTTGAAGAGGTCAGTTGCTTAACAAGACTGCGGATATAGGCACCAGAGAGGTGAGGATGGTCTTCTTTGAGCTTGCCAAGTTTCTCAATTTCCTTTGCTTCTTTGGTTTCTGGCTTTGAACAAGATCTACCCTTCATCTCTCCTTTTTATATTTGTTTGTATCTCTGTTTTTTCAACTCAGGATGGTAGAGAGAGAAGGTGGGATAGGAGACTCATGGTTTTTGCTCACAAATATTTTGAAGGACAAAGTACAAAATGCAGAGAGAGGGGCAGAGGCTGATCCAGAGTAGACCGGAAGGACTCATGGGTGTTATAAATACTAGCTGGGGACAGTCTAGGGTTTTTAAATTCTTTTGGAATTTTCCATATTTTGGCAATCTACATTTGTTACCGTTTTAGGTTTTATTACCTGCATAAAACAGGTAGCCAAGGGCCTCTCCATCACTAAACTACCCTTTGACTTCAACTACATTTACCAAGAGTTTGCCCCTCCTAAGTGGAAAGCCCACCTTCCCCTTCACAACCCTCCATCAATGTAAAAACAGAAAACTTAAATTCTATGATATGCAACTTATATGAGAAATTAAATACATGTGCTAAAAAAAATGCAATTGCATTAAAGAGATAAACAAGAGAAGCGTTTTCAGCAAACTAAGCCAGATGGCTGATGGTTTGGGAATTAGTTTCCCTAGGATGCCTATTGTTTAATTGTACCAAAAGAGAAGGTAAGCTGTTACTGTAACATAACTAAACCTATATTATTATGCACAATATGTCAACAAGACACCTCCCTGAATTGCTTAGGTTAGATTTTTTCTTGATGATTTATGCTCACGACAAAGGAACAGAGCAGGCTAGGGAAGCACTAAGGGGGTCTCTCAACTGATAAAAACTTGAGACTTTAAGTTGATGATCACAAATTCAAATCTTGAGATGGTGAAAAGTGGTTTGAAAAAAAAGAGAATTATTTTTTTATTGTATAACTCATCATTAGCTTTACCCAAAAATTAAAAATTAAAAAATAAATAAAAAAGAGCAATTCATTAGGCGAGGGAGGATGGATGGGCATTTTTGTATCTTGGCTGCAAGTACGATGGGGACCAGGCTCTACAAAACGTCAGCAAAAGCTTAATAGAGACTGACAGAAGAATCTCCATTGCTGTTGTAAGTTGTAACCTCCCCCTTTATTTCCTTTTTTCAGGATAGAAGAGGAAATTTCCAATATTTCTGTTTAAAACAAAATTTTTTACCATGATTTGAGTCTCTGTGTTGATGAAACAGAGAACTTGGACCTTTTGTAAAGGCGGTCCACAGCGTGTTAAAGACAGAAATGCTCCATACCATCCCTCCTTTTTCCCTCATAATACAATGTCTGTATCCCAGTTGTTGTTGCTGCCATTTTCACTCAATTTTCTTTTACTTCTACTTCTTAATCCAATCGGAGGGGACAGAACCGGAGTGATGGATTCTGTGGCTTTTAGCAGGGTTTTCAGGCACCAACAACAGTGAAAATGAAACCCAGAAGAGATAAATCATTACCACTTCTGTCAATTTATTAAACAAATCAACTTCTACTACCTAAGACATCCATATTTTATTCCTAAATTTGGAACTGACACTGTTCACGAGCAGGAACAGTGGTGCCTATATAGGGAGCAAATCAGCAGTTTATCTCAGAAATAATACTAGTTAAACAATCCCCACAAAGATGCAAAGTTTTTCCTGAATGTTGGATTTGAGACCTATATCAATTTCCCACAAAAAGTTGTCTACTTAGGTTATGAGGTAACTAGAACTGGAATCTATTTGCACTCATTACCTACACTGATTTGGATAGATTATCCAGCTTCAAACCAATCATGAAAAGAGATTTAATAAATATTTATAATCGTTGTTTTTGTTTTTTAATGATTTTATAAATATCCAGCTACACGATATGAATTATTATGTATGTCAATGATACAAGATAACAGAGCATCTGACTACACAAAATTCCAATTCACTGAATCAAAATCATTCTCAAGTCAAGTGCTTACCCTCATCAACATATCTCCTCAAGGATAATGGCAGCCTAAAAACCACTTCATCTTTTCTTTCCTTTCAAACACTGCTTTCCCATTTACGATGCTGCTACAAACTAAATGAACAATTCCACATAATTCCCTATCTAATGCTAGTTTAAAAACATTTATGACCAACTGCAAGCTACTATAAAAATTTCTTGGTCATAATATGAAAGCTATTAACTTTATTGTTAAGAGGCATGCAAATCACATGAGACAAGTGTTTCATTGATGAAATTATACTACTCTCAACAAAACCCTAATCTCCAAATCAACAAAAGGAGTTTAAATCCAACAGAAGCAAACATGTGAACATGCATAACCCCTAGCTAACTTGCATCTGAACAGACAGAAATAATCAGGATAAAATAGAATCATAAATATAAATATTTATTTAATGAAATTGCATGAAAGAGAAAGGGAAGAGGAACAGACCTGTCATGTGTGGATAAACATGCAAATGCAAAATATGACACTGCGGCATCTGTTTCTGATGAAATCAAAAAATAAACCAGCTTCCACCAATCCCTTCACGGAGCAGCAGATGAAAAAGATTGCTTTCCACGAATCACATTTACACAGCACACCACCGCCCACAACACCCCATATACTTCCATCCCCTCCTTCTCTCTCTCCCTTTGGATTCCATTCACACTACTCTCTGAAAAAACACGTCTTTACCCTTTTATCCTTTTAGCCGAAAATGAACCCTAGCTGTAGCTGCTATGGCAACTCGCAAATTTTAGGGGAATAAAAAAACAAATATTTAGTGTACCCCAGATAAATTTATTCCTTTGTTTTCTTTCTCAGGCCCTAGCTGTTAAGCTGTGACCCTTCCCTGCACAAACCCAACAGCTCTGCTAGTCTTCCTACAGTAATTCTTGGGGCCCTTTAGTCAATGCATGGAGTCAATAATTCACCTTTCACCTGCCATCCTTCACCAATTGGAAGAAAATTTGCAAAATTTAGAAGAACCACCGTTCTACAACCCACTTCCAAAGCAAAATCTTTTTCAGAATTTAGTGGAACCCAGGTAGCAATCCGATTCAAATGCAAAATTTCAGATGGGTTTTTGCTAGAACAAGCAAAATCAGTGAAACTGTTTAAAAAAGAAAAGTAATTTGCTGTAATTTAGGGTTAAATTAAAGAAGTCAATTCGGGTAAATTGCATGTTGGGGGAGTGGTGGAAGGGGAAGTGGATAATCAAGTTGGTTAACAAGAGAGGTGGGACCACCGGCAAAAGAGTGACGGACCTGATGTGATGAGTCATAATCAAACGGCTAATTTCCACTGCGAAAGAGGGGGGGCAATGCTGACAAGGGTGCCACCTGGGCAGAGCACAGAGGCTCCAATCAGAGGCAGGTTGCCACGTGGGATATACGAAAGGGGACAACAAAGTTGGCATGGCAGCTGGCCAACCCCACCGCCGGAAAAAGCCTGCACCTTCCTCTCAATTCAATTCCAATCCCTTTCATTGACCCCATTTTAATTGAAAAAATACAAATAAAAATGAAATTTTATTGGAATTAAAAGAAAAAAAAAAATGAAAGAAGATGAAGAAGGAGAAAAAAAAGAAAAAGTGAAAGAGAAAGAAGAGTCAAAACCAACAAGAATTGAGAAATCTACTTATCAGAATATAAAATTTATTATTTTTTATCTAAAAATATGAATTTTTTAAATTTATAAATTAATTGATAAATTTTTATATTTTATTTAAAGATATAAATTTTATTTTTTTATTTAAATATTTTTTAATATATTTTGATAATTATGAATTATACAATAATAAATAATTCTTTTTTTTTTAATTTATCTCTACCTGACTTAAAGTTTAAATTTAAAATTTTTAATTATTATATCACCCCTTTGAGATTTTTTTATTTAAATATTTATTGAATGTTGACGATAACTAATAATTGATAATTTAATTAAAATAAGGTAAATTTTATATTTTTAAATAAAAATAAAATTTATATTTTTAAATAAAAAATTAACAAAATTCATATTATTATTTACACTTTTTCCCAACTAAAATTTGTGTAACTTTGAGAATTTAGTAAAGAATATTTTGAAAATTTTTCCACGGATAAAGTCTTAAAATTTAGAAAAACCTATCATAACATAATTGTTTTATTAGCACGTTTAATTTTTTTGGGTAAGGAATTATATATGATTAAAGTATGCATAAGCTAATCTTTAAGGTGTCCTCATATTTTAGTCTTTAAGGTTCTGCCTCAACAAAATTATGAAGGTCGAATTGACTTTCAGCGGAGCGTTGAGGATTATTTAATAAGATTGTGTCATACGTATAGATGAATTGAATTTTAAAGATGGAAGGAGGCAGAAGCAGAACGCAGCCCCTCTCAATCTCATACGGCCTTTCTTTTGGCCTCTCCATTTAACCAATTTGGAACCGTACGGTCACTTTCCGCTTTTAGTTGGGGTGGCGGTGGAACCAATGCTCAATAAAAATTCTAGAAACCTGATGTGAGGAGAGCAGCAGCAGCAGCATCAACGACTTTGGTTATGGCTGTGAATGCACGCACACGTTCACACACACAACTTGCATTCAATTAATACCTGCCATAACCAATCTCTTGTTTATATATGTTTACATGACGAGGGGAAGCCAAGGTGATTTTCAAATTGAACTCTATGTGCATGTGTGCGACTATAATGCCATCTCTCTTAATTTTGATAGCATGAAACTTATGTCTATGTCAGTTTTCGATATTTGTGTTCAAGGTTAGACCAAAATTTCACCCATATTTCACATCCTGCATTTATCATGTTAGAATATCGAAGAGAAAGAGTATGATTCCCATTTTTTTAGTCAATTTATGCCCATTTTGGAAAATAAATTTTTTTTTTTAATTTGATTTAAGTCAAATCATCCACACTAAAACTAAGAAATTTATATAAAAAAATTAATTTCTTATTATCCCCTTAAGAAATTAAAAATTGATCAACAAAATTCAAAATAAATCTCTTTATTGATTAAGTTATAATTCTTTTAATGGAATTCCATTCATTAGAAACTCTAATTTGTACTATCATTATAAAAGATAAAAAAAACTAATTACTGATCTATTGATTCAAATAGGAAAAATTTAATTTATCTTAAATAAAATTTTAAATTTAAATCTTATAAATGAAAAAGTAGATATTAAAAGAGTTTCTCTCTTATACGATCTTATATGATTCGATTTTAAATTAATCAGTATCAAATATAACTTCTGAATACTAAAATATTAGTTAAAAAAATTATTATAAAAGAAAAACGTAACCTACAAGTTCTCTAGCTAGTTACATTTGAATATAGAATTGTATTTTTTATTTTTTCAGCTACAAATAAAACATGTATATGGGTCCAACACCAATTATTTTTGTAAACTTGATTGCAGGCGCACATGATAGGAGTTGGTGATGGTGGAGGTGGCTGTGGCATGTACGCAGAGAGAATCAGAGCGGCGCATGCATGCACTCAAAGATGCAAAATGGGCCGTCCATATATATGAGAAAAGTATCGCATTCTTTCTCCCTGTCAATATCGTTGAAATCAACACGAAATTCGCTTGTTTTTGTTTTCTTTTCTTGAATAACAGTTGTTCATTTTGGTTTCTTTTTGTAACTACAATAATGCATAGATCACACCACCAACACAGAATATCTTTTACATTTTAAATGTAAAATTTTGATCTAAGATTAAGATCATAAATCAAAATTCATGTTATTTTGATTATATATGTAAAAAAAATAATAATAAGAATTACATACGAATTAATGGTCATAGAATAACAAGAAGAGGATCTGAGAAAACTATAATGGGAAATTAGGGGTAACATAGGCTGCTTCAAAATCAAACATATATAATTACAAGAAGAGAACATTTACAAGACATGGAACTGGCCACCCTTAACAAAATAAAAGCATTGGGATGATCAGGTCCTCCCGCTATTTGAATCATCAACTCTTGAGTTTTTTCCTTAATCATTTCAATTGAATCAATTCCCTGTTATTAATTTTCTAAATTTTGGTTTTTCTAAAAATGGCTGCCTTTGTTTCAAACTCTTCATGTTCCTTGTCATCCCCCCTTGCTGCCATTCCCAGGCCCAAAGGCCCAATTCTTCACCAAAAATGCCTCTCCCT